ATTGCATATCCTGCAATATTCATGGATTTTTTTACTTCGTTCCAGCACTGGTTGCATAATACCGCTCATTAAGCCCGCAATCAGATTGAACCGCGTTGGCCAGCGCCCGTGGCTGCCCGCGTTTATGTATTCCAACATTGTGTCTATTTTCGCGCGCATTCATAAGGGCACGCGAGCGCGCGAACGCGAGCCCACTAATACCGATTAAAGTGATGGTCTCGCGCGAATTACCCGACTCCTCTCTCTCTCCCTCTTTCTCTCTCTCTCTCTCTCTCTCCGTTACAATCTCTCTCTCTCTCTCTCTCTCTTCGATTTTCTTTCCATCGTCCCTCGAAACTATCCGACTCGCAATCATTTCATCGTATCGCAACGCAACGTGAGGATCGGTGATTTCGAGGAAACCAAACTATCCGCGGTACTCCAATAAGACCGATGACACTGTTCCTCGATCCACGCGTTCCTGGATATACACTCCAGGCCACGTCTTTCATTCACGCGACCGGCAGGCGTCACCTAGAACCAATAAAGACAGCATCGAAACGAATCGCCAAGAATGTGACGCGCTGCACGTATCGTATCCCCCTCCCAGTGTCCCTTTCCGTTCCACCTTTTGCTCTCTCCATTCGCCACGGTCTGCTTTTATTCCGTAGCAGCGCGAAAGAAATCCGAAGGCATAATAATTAAATCGCATCGGGGTAAACGATCAAGCGTTCGTCCGAGGAAGGCAACTCTCTTCGTGGCGCTGGGGGGACACGAAGGGGGATAACACGAAAGAGGGGATGCGAAGAAACAGAGCGAGAGGAAGGGATCGAAGAGCACGGGCAAGTCGACGTAAGTCGGAAAGAGATAAAGAAAGAGAGAGAAAAAGAGAGAGAGAGAGAGAGAGAGAGAGAGAAAGAGACGGCTGTCGTGGCTTCGTGTGCATAATTGCCGTGATTATGGGTGTGTCAGTTCGGCCCGTCTAGGTGCATACACGCATTCGGCTCTAGATGCAGCTGATCCGGGTGCGTGTAACGGCGCAGCAGCAGCGACGCAGCGGAAACGTTGGCAACCGCGCAACGGCGCAGACCGATGCGCAGCATCATTATCTGGAGCGCTGCTTAGCGAAGAGCATCATCCATGTTGCTCGTTAACTCGCGTGCATCTCATATGAATAAACTTCTTTAATTATCGCGAGGCGGTCGCTCCGGGGAAACCACCGCCTCGTCTCGAACGCTACCTCCAACCCCTCCTCCATACCGCTTGCAACGTTTCAACGAATTTCTTTCGACGATCATCGAGCGACCGACTCTTTACTTTAATCCTTTCCGAACCCTTCGTCATTTCGTTATCAACGCTTCATCCACTCTGCTCAGACTTTTGGCTCGATTCGTTCCTCTCAGTGGTTGCCTGAAGTTGTTCGAAGCAACGTTACACAAGCAGTTTGGTTGTGCACCCGCGCATGCGCACATCCACTGGCGCTCCGCGTCAGTGACGCGGTAAAAATTGAAACGTTGCATCAGGATTGTTATCGTTATCGTATAATGAAACGAAGCTCCGACAAGATCTTATCGAGTTCTGCTTTAATTAAGAAACCTAAAAATCAACAGAAGTAAGTATAATACTTCGCGACCCTTTCGCGCTAAGGAACTGTGGCGAGTTACGTGGTGTTTACATATCGAAAAAAATCATCGCGGTTACTCCCTTGGGGGTAACGAGCGCACGCGGTTCGCCAATTTGGCAGGGTTGTTTGCAGCGTGGCGCGAAACTGCGCCGGGTCTGCTGATTTACGATAACAGCGAGGAACGGCGTGTAAAATGCCGGGGAAATTTGGCCTCGACAAGAAAATAACGTCTTAAACGCGTCGTTGCTCCAATTTCCACGGGCGAGTGGCGCAGTTTGGTGCAGTCCGACGAACAGGCAACGGTAGAAAAAAGGGAAGAAGGAGGGAAAGAGAAGAAAGATCGGGAGGCAAGCGTATAACACGTTTATGCATTTTCCTGCTAGTAATACGCCGAAATCGATAGCTGTAATTACGTAGAAAGCTCTGCGTGTCGTCGATATGACTTACTGCGGCAAACGCCGCTACTTTTGCCACGGATCGGACAACCGTTCTGATTGTCGGAATTATTTCGCGCGGAAACGAACCACAGCTTGATTACCAGACATTTTCTCTAATGATCGTGTGTGCATTGCGTCGCGTCGCGCGTCATACCATTGCCAGGCTATACCTTCGTGGAACTTGCGTAACTTCGGTAATTACAAATCTTCTATCGTAATCATTATCGTGATTATCATTATCACATGCCGTCGTCATGATACAGCGTACGCGTTCGTCGTACACGCACGCCACTTATCCCTTTCCGAGAGACACGTTCACACTTTCACATTTTTCAACGGGCGCTCGTAGATAAGGTGGGACGAAAACCGAGATTTAAAAATAATATGTAAAGCGAAATGATCGGTGTTAAGCGACATTCGTGATCTCGAGGCACGTCGACGACGACGTTTAAATGATTCTCGAGCCGTTTTAAACGCGAGCGTTCATTAGACGATGGTAAAGAACGAGGTACGCACACTCGGTTAAGCGTATTCTACGTGCAGTCGAGTATCAGAAATTCGAGATATCGCGAAAATCTCTCGAGATCCGTGAACGTGAAAATATAGTTTATCGTCGATAAATCGTTCGAACGGTCGGCGGTATCGTTATTCGCAACTTTCTTCCCGTGAAAACGCGAACGAACGTCCGATGATATAGAGGAGAAAGAAACGCGAGGCCGCGAGATAGCAGCGTCGATTAATCGCGCGGAATTAAAGTTTTCCCTACGAATTATCTCGCACTAAACACACGTTACTCGATTTCATACCGGATAATCGATCTCTCCTTCGATTAATCCAGTTTCCCCGCTCCACCATCGATCCTTGATGTCCGATCGATGCAGGCCAATACTCGCGTCGATTGACACGCGGCGTGGCGCGATCGAGGCCCAACGCATCGATCGAACGTAGATCGCGCTCGTTAACTCCGTTATTGCTAATCGGCCGATCGGATCGGCGTGATCGACGCAGATGAGTTACGAAGTTAAGTCTACCGCTGCGGGCATCGCAGGATCGTTCACACACGCAGGAGCATCGTCGATCAGTTCTTTTTTGCGACCCTGGATTGCAGCAGGCTGCGACCTCGAAAGAAAAAGTGACTGGAGCATAATTTAGAACGGCGAAAAGAGATCGCGAGATTCCATGATCTCCCAATTAATTCGCCGGTTATCTCGGAGAGACCGAGCTAGGAAAAAGCAAGACGAAAACGAGAGGAAGACAGGATGTTTCGGCTGACAGATAACGCGATCGCCGCTACGACTTTCTAATCGCGTTCTCGTGGACAGGGTTGGCAACCGTGGAGATCCTTGCTCCCGGCCAGATCCCGGATCTTATCACGTAGCGGTGTGTCGACGGTATCGCGTTGACGAGCCAAAAAATATAGTCGATATAGAGAGGCAGCGAGACGCACGCGGGGAGATCGATCGTAACGGGCGTGCACCGTTTCGCGGTCGATCGTCGAAGGGCGGGAAAGCCTGTTTCGAAAAGGCTGTCACTCAGTTTACGCGATCAGGAGTTCGAAACCGGTTCGAACGGGCGTTCTGGGTTCGGTTCTGGCCGCGGAGATCGAACGCACACTGGCAACAGCAACACCGGCAGCACCAACAGCAGCATCTCTGGCGTAACGGAAGCCGCAATAGCCGCATGGATTCTTGTTTTCGCGTTGCTTCTCCATTTTTTCTCTCTCGTTCTCTCTATCACGGTACGCGTTCGGTTCTCCTCCGTTTATATCTTTCCCTCTCTGTTCGACTCTGCCGTTTCTCTCCTCTCTCTTTTTCTCCCTACCCCATCTCTTTCGTTCTCCTTTTCCCCTCCCCCTCCCGTTTTTCCTATTTTTTCCTATTTTTTTTTCTTCTCTTTCTGTTTCCTCTTTTTTTTTTTATTATTATTTTTCCTCGTGTTGCTTCCCTTTGCGCGCAAGCTCGTGCATATACGCATCGGCGGGCGTAGCTCTGCTGCCCGCTCCCTGATAAAATCCCACAAAAATCGAGAAGCCGTTAGCTCTCCGGCTAGCTATGGTAACCGAGAGGTGGAACCGGTGCTCAATATAGATTCAGGGAGCAGCCTTTACACGGAGTGCATTCGACGGGAGTCGTTGTTAATGCTAAATGAATTTTAATCCTCGATTTTTGGACGTTCGACGGAACGCCCTTTCGACCCACCTCGATCTCATCCTCCTCCTCCTCCTCCTCCTCCTCCTCCCTTCTACCCCTCCGCCTCTTTTCTCTCCTTCCCTCTTCGCAACGATGCTCTTCCACCCTCCCCCTCCCCCTCCACCCACTATTTTGGATCCGATAGAACCCTGGGATATGCGAGTAATTAAAATATTAACTAATCTGCAATTCCGGATGGAAAATCGTGCACAGTGCATGAACGACCCTGGTGAGTCGATTGAATATTCTTGATACATATTTCGCGGACCTGTCGATTTCGCATCTGATTACCAGGTGCCAGGATGTTTTATGTATAGCAGTTTCCTGTATAGGGTGTTGCGTTCAAAGCATCGCAGTTTAACCCCTCGCCATACGATTTGTTTAATAGCTATTTAAGTAGGTTTAATAGCTATTTAAGCAAGCTATTCGGTGTTACTACATCGTGTTAAATAAAGAATATTGAAGCATTATACAGAAGTTATGTTTAATAACTCTTGGCTTCGAGAAGCGGAGTTCAAATTATATTTCACGCTGATCTTTCTTTTATATACACCTTATCCGTGTTAAATTGAAACCATAATTCGTACTACGAGTTTCGTTAGACATTACAATACACAGACACGCACAGGTATATGTATTTAGGCAAGAAACTAATATATTGTAAAACAAAATTATCGAATTACAATGTTTAATAAAAGTATCACTAGTTGTTTACCAATTACTTTACTAAATTTTTATTACCACGATGCTCCAGCGACGGATCTTAAATTTTAAACGCTTACTCTACTCTCAGTTACTCCGTATCGATTTCCTCGTACGGGATTAAATTGAGTATCGAAAAGAATATGGAGCAAAGCTGAGCGTGCCGTCATATTATATTATTGTGAGTCACCGTGTATATTATATGTATAATCACTCAGCAGCAGTAGTCCGTAACACTTTTAATTTCCCAGCTTGTATATGTAATAATAGGTTCAAGGGTTTGACGACGCCGAAAAAAGAGCAAACGGACGTGGTTTCCTGGCGGGGATCGTCTCAAGGGGGCGGCACCGCGCCGCGGCGTGGGTATTTTTTTTTAACACGCGCGTCAATTTCGTTTCGCGCAAATTTTTTCGCCGCTGTACGTACGCGTCGGGCGCGCGTAGTACATGTACGTACGCGGCAGAGAGACGAGGCAAGTTCGACACGGCAACGGGAGAGAATGCATAAGCACGAGGCACGAGTCCAGGCAAGTCGGTTGTGCTCTACGCTTAAACGCGAAAGAAGAGGGCTGCCAATAGTTGGTTCGCCGGTACATTCCCGCTCTACAAAGTTAATTACGTGGCTGACGCTCGTTAGCGAAAAAATCCAAAGGCGATAAATCATAGTGATAACTGAAATACATTTCTGCTCTGCTAAGCGTAAGTTGCCGTATCTCTGAAATGCTCTGCCGTTCGAAGACATTAACGGGTCTCGGTCTTGATGCTGATGTTACACGAAATTGTTATTACGCCGCTGTTGTTTCTAGTGGTGGCCGTGGTCGCTGCCCAACGAGAACCGAGAAGAAAGAGGAGAAAGGATGAAACGGGAGAAAAAAAGAATAGGAAGAAGAAGAAGAAGAAGAAGAGGAGAAGGAGGAAGGTAAAAACGTACGAAGAGCAAAGAAGCAACACCGCCAATTACTTTCCAACCGACTACTCGATAATATCGTCCCGCGAGCACCGATACACAACGACCATTAATATTCTAAACGCAAGCCCCGTGTACGCAGCTCGTGTTCTCGATCCACGCTCGGATCTGTCTTGGAACGTAATGCAGATCCGGCCGGCACGAATCGTTCGTGTACCACCGGAAAGCCCCCGAGTTATAACAGTTTACTACGCGGACGAACCACTGGATTCGAGATAGTTAGACGCGCGAGCCTAACAATTTGCGCGCGATATCATAGATGCCACGCCGGACCACCGTTACATCCCGTGCTTTACCTACGATCGCGCTTTTTTATGTCATCCTTGGCCGGTCTTTAGAGAATTGAACGATTCCCGTTGAACAACCTTCGTCGTCGTGAATTCTCCATTTGATAAGGTAACGAAGGGAAATACATGCAATTATCGTAGCCTTGGGAAAGCGACGATGCAACTTTGCATCGGAGAAGCGTACGTTTTCGGAAGCGAGACAACGGGAAAATTGGTACAAACGGTTCTGATATTTGAAAACATACAGATTTTCGTAGTAAAGTTTAACTTTACCGGCAATTTTCCAACTTAGAGACTTTGTCACCCGTACAAATATAATAAAATTACAAAATTATTTGGAGCGTGGCTCGTTAAATCTGCATCGACCACGACAAAACATCCGATGCAACTGGCAAGCAAAGCATGCCAAATTAATCATGGAAGCCCAGGAATCTGGCGTAACAAATTCAAATACAGAAACACGTATATCAATTACACGATCGAGACATAGGCTAACGAAGTCCGTGACGAGGATACGAAGGTACGAAAAATATCGCCAGAGAGACGAAGGGTTAAAGCGGAAAGAGAGGAGGAAGAGAAAGAGAGAGAGAGAGAGAGAGAGAGGTGCAGCGAAAGACGAATAAAGTGACAGAGAGGGCTGAAAGAGAGGGCAGAGGAGAGTGACGTTTCGTGAGATAAAGGTGAAGGGAGAGAGGGGTGGCAGAGAAGATATTCTTGGCAGCGACTGCGATGCAACAACTGTCCCCATCCGTCATCTACGGAGGCAGCGAGAGAGGCCCACGACCACTCGATGCGTCCCTCGCCGTGCTCTTCAAATCACGAGAGGGGAAAACTTCTCGTAATCATCGAGATCTCGACTAACGACACCGACAGTCGACTCATTACGTCGTTATCGTGGAAAGAATCTCCGTGGATCCGCGAGGAAACGGCCCAAACTGTTCGTTTTTCAAAACTCTTCGAAATATTCCGACTCATTTCACTTTATGATATTAGATTTCCTTTATTACACGATGTAAAAGACATAGTTCGTTGCAAGAATAAAAGCCAGAGACGCGTTGTAATATCGCTTTTGCTGCGACGAATCAAGATTATCTCGGATAGATGACGCCTATATTTAGGCTTATTTGTGGCTGCCTCCGGGCTCTATTATTCGTATAAGATCCACGAAGAAGAGACTCCGTAAAAGAGATTCATTTAAAGCAATTAAGGAGACATTCCGTTCCGACGCCCGATCATAAAGATCTCCGTGCATCCTAATGACCAGAACCAACCACGATCGTAAAGAGCCTTACGCTGCAAAGGCAAACGGAATAATAAAAAAAAAGGAGAAGAAAAATTGGCGAATCTGAACCTACGGCAATGGTCGTGCCTCTAAATCCGGCCGGTGCGCGGTCTTATTTTAGCGGGCAGCGCGTCAGAATCCACCCCTAGAAGCGGTCCGAATGGAATTCTATTCCAGTTCGACGAACTCTGTGGCCGGTCGCGTCGACGACGCAACCCGTGTACACGCGTCAAACTCACCACGCCAGGGACACACGGGTGTTTCGAAGTATTTACATACGGCTCTGTCCAACCGAGGCCCTGACCAACCGCTCGCCCGTCCCTGAAACGGTTCACTGTCGTCGTCGTGGTCGGCTCCGTGGCCATTCGATCATCCACGCTCGATGCGTGTGGATCAGGTCTAGGACCGACTCTAGGTAATGGGTTCTGGCTAGTTGGCGGGTGTGTCGGTGTGCACGGGGTGGTAAGCCGGTTAAGAGAGCGGTGGAAAAGAAAGAAGAAGCCGACGATCGGTCATCCTGATGCATATACGCGTTCGTGACGCGAACACCGGACACACGTACGATCCAGAACGTTTTACAGTGTGCACATCGGTATGTGTGCGTGCGTGTACGTGTGGTAGAGATCGACACACACGCGGTCGTGGTTTTTATATGAAATTGCCGCTCCACCGTACGCTCCACTAGGCCTCGGAATTGAGATAGCGTTATCCGATGACGAGCAGCTATATCGCGAAATATTACCGCTGGAAATTATTAACCATCTCGCGAGGTTGAGTCGACCCAGCGATCGAGATCGATGGGATAGGTTTCTCCGGCGATACAAATAGAGTTGTGCGTGTTCCCGTGTTCTTCGCTTCTTATAGTTTCGCTTCTTATTCTTCTTATTCTTTCTCGTTCTCTTCTTTTTTCTTCGTCATGATCTTCGCGTTTCTTTCGTTTCGTTTTGTTGCATAAACGAGAACGTTTAAACGTTTTGCTCCGCCGATGCTGAATGGTTTCGGAAATCTTCGCACGAATGGACAAGGATTTATTAGTTGGATATTAGTAGTTTATATGAGAGGAAATTAGGACATGTTCGCGTGGCTTCTGCGGACAGGATGGAAAGGACTTTAAGGAATTATGGCTCGTCCTACCGATCGTAAAGCGGACACTCGGCACGAACCGATCTGTTATTAAGTAATTATCCTTGAATTATGACCGCGGCCAGTAGCTTCGAAGTAAATTGGACATCGTCCGGCGCGATCTTAGAAAAATGATTTTTAATCGAGCGCAGATATTAACCGGCTCGCGATAGACCGTAATAAATCCGCGATGATCCCCGTGGAATCTCTAGCGAAATTACGACCGGCTGGCCGCTGGATTAATTGCATACTCGATGCCTTTTAAGCTATACCTTCGTAAATTAATTCCTGTAAAAATGTCACCGGACATTTAGCAATTCCTATGAAACGTCATCGAAAATATCAAATAAAACCAAGTTTAATGGCTTTCTACGTGGCTTTCTAAACCTTCACTTCCATAAAACTCGCGTGTCTTTTTTTCACGAATCAGCGTCGAATCTTCCAGTCGGCCGATTTGTCCGATCTTTCCATGATAATTAAAAGAAATCGCTGTATCAACAGGATCGATGATAGAAGTCGGACCGAATCTAGCGCATTGTCATACTTAACCGTATCCTCTCGAGGCCGGGACACGCCTACCGAGTTTAATGAACTTGTGCGATCAGACCGCGATGCTGTTCGCGATGCTCGAGCCCACCGCGCGAATAAGCCGTTATCCGAAGGCCTGACCTATGCCGAAGATTTTCGAGCAACGTAACTCATCATTATCTAGATAATACGCGGCTCATGCACGCCACCGCTCAATGAATCACTTCCACGCCCAACCGGGGGCCGATGCTCGCGACTCGTTGCACGCGCTTTCACGTTGCGGCCAGCCGCGCGCACTTTCCATCGAGCTACATATCGAGGATTCTTCTTTCGCCAGCCGATAAATATTTCGCCGGTCTCGTGACTTATGCGCGCATAACTCACCATCGTTCCTGTCTTCTCTCCGTGTTTCTTTACTACCTGTAGTCGATTCGTACGATTGGCACGGCTATCAGTTCCAAACGAATCCCAAGCCCGGCATCTACTCCAGGCATTCGACGTTACAGACAGGTTTGCATAATTAAAGCGTTCCTGTCGGCTAGGACGTTCCGTTAGAAAGAGGACGGACGAGACAAAAAGGTGAAAAAAGAAGGGAATATAGGAAAAGCAAATCGGTAATGATGATCGTTGAGCTTGGTCTTGGAACCGCCTCCCGCGGAAACCCTTCCTCTCGTGCCTCGTATTACTACCACTCCTAGAGGCCTCTCGCTCCTTTCTCTCGACGTCTCCCAAATCGGAAAGATCCACGCTTCTTCGACGCCTGTTGATCCTTTGACAGGACGAGCGGCGCGTCCTCGACTCCGACCTCCCCGCTCGGCGGACCACCGCGAGTTTCTCGCACGTTTTCATCCCCCTCTCTGCCGGCCTGTCGATCTTCCGTGCCCTCCTATTTGATCCTGCAGCAGGCAAATGCGCGGTAACCAGAACGAGGGAGGGGGCACCGAGCACACGTGTATCGGCTCACGGTGAAAATAGTGCAATAAGCGCGTAGTTATGCAGCAGCTACGGC